CCTACCCAGATAATCAGTGATGCCAGAGATGGAAGCAGAGACAATGACGCGGAGAGATGGAGCGGCTGGGGACTCTAGACGCAGAGAGGGAGAGGGGTTGTGTGCTGACAACGAGGGGCAGGCATTCAGGGCACACCCTTTTGTTGGTTGATGATGCATGGAGGGAATTGTAACATGACAATGAAACGATATACGATAGGATGACTGTAAAGCTAACGTTCTCTCATGTAAACTATCACATAATTCACAAAACATTAAAAAATATATTAAATCACTGTCACTGAACAACTGAAGATTGCTGAAATGGCAAATGTTTTGTTACCTATCTATTACTACTATGAATAAAGTCTCACAAAACACTGATTTTGCTAAGTTTTTAATACCAGGGTCACAAACTCAACTATGAAGTGGGGAAAAAAAATAGCCAATTCTAATTCTTAAACAGAATGAAATGTTTCTGGCACTTGCTAGAAAATGGCTAACGATCCAAAGTTTCATGAGTATTATATATTTCAATTCCTAAATACTAACATCAAAACATGAATTGTTTGAATCAAGTCAAAAATGTTTGTAGACTATATAAAGGGGGCCCCAAGCCACCCGTTTTCCTAACTTTAAAAAAACAAATCACACAAACTGCTGAAACTTTAAAACAGCTTTGAAAAATCCAGTGAATTTTCGTTTACTTGATGTGACAATTACATTTATACAAATTGTTATATAACCTCGGTCAAAACATTATAACATACCTCACCAAAACCACCAAAGTACTCCCTTATTTTCTCTTCAGGTGTATCTGGAGAAAGGCCACCAACAAAAATTTTTTTAACAGGTTCTTTTGTTTTCATGGCTTTGGCCCTTTTAGGGTCAATCACTTTCCCATTCAATTTATGTTCTTTCTGATCCATGACCTAAAGAAATTCAAGTTTTGCATTTTAAATATTTATCTTAAGTGCATAGAAAATTTACTTTAAAATAAATAAATACAGCTAATGTCAGGTACATGTTGACTGGTTCAAGATTAAACTGCCAAATAGTTTGGTGATGACATCAGCTAGTACACAATAATCAAAAGTCAATTCTAGATGGGGATTTAAAAAAAAAAAAGTCAATTCTGATTAGTGGCAACCCCATGTATTTCAGAGTAGAACTGCACGCCACAGGGATTTCAAACGCTGTGATCCTTCTGAAGTTGACTGCCAAGCCTTTCTTCAGAGAGAGGTGACTCTAGGAGAACTCTAACAGCCAACCTTTCAGTTGGTAAGTGCCCTCGAGTCACTTCTGACTTATAGCAACCCTGTAGAGTTTTCAAGGAGGTCTGAACTGCCAAACTTTTGGTTAGCAATCCAGTGCTTATTCTATAGCACCACACCAGGTTAACAGTGTTTAACTAGCTAATACATACTAGTATCTAAATGTGAGGTCAATAACAATGCAAGGGAAGAAGACACAAATTTAACTAATTCTAGATAACTAAATCCCAAAAAAACCATTGCCAATCTAGTGACTCTACAGGAGAGGGTAGAACTTCACCAGTTTCCCAGGCAGCAAATTTTCAGAGCAGACTGCCACATCTTTCTCCCACCAGAGCAGCCGATGGGTCTGAAATGATCTTTCCATTGTCAGCCAAGAGTTTAGCCACTGGGCAGCCAGGGTGTCTTACTAGGTAACCATCAGCTATATAAACAAATATAATTGCTACTTCCCCTTTGCAAAGACCAAAAAGATGATTAATTTTTGCCTAACAAATTTCAAAATGTTATTTGTGAATTTTCCATAGCACACCCTTTTAAGTTAAAGTCTTTAAGTTTCAATGATGTTTTAAACTGTAATTTGCTAGAGCCAGACACACAAGAATATTTAGCAAATAATTTTTAAATCTGACTCTTTCTTCAAAAAAATATACTAGAGTAAGAACTTTCTTTTACTTCCTAGACCTGAAGAAGGGAAAACCCCAATTAATGGAGAAACCCATTGTTAATCAAGCTATCCATGTTTTAGTATTTAGGGAAGTTTCAGCAAGTTCATGAGAAAAATCCTGAGTCTTTCAATAACATTTCTCCACAAACATTGCGAAGCCACCTTGTGGAATGAAATCTGTTGAGAACTAAAACTTGAAGGGATTCCCGTTTTTCTGGGATAGGGCCTGCATGTTTTCCACCTTTGACACGGTGTGGTGTAATTACTTTCCATACCTTGATTTAGTAACAAGTGTTAGTTTTTTCCTTCTCTGATAGGTTTCCGCCTTACACAGGTTCCAGCTTTCATAGTTTTACTGTATTACTTATCCAAATATTACTAATTGATCAGAACATACACATAAAACACTACCTTATCTACACTCTCCGACTCTTTAAATAGCACAAAGCCAAAACCCCTTGATCGCCCTGTGATAGGATCTAACTTCAGAGTGCAGTCTACAACTTCACCAAATTTGGAGAAGTAGTCCTTCAGATCTTTCTTTGTAGTGTCCCAGCTAAGGCCTCCTATAAACATTTTCCTGTAAAGACAAAAAGAAGTATTAAAATGCTAAAAATAAATTAAACTTTATATTATCTACATCATTAACACAACTTTCCAAAACTGCACCAATTTACCGGGCAGTAAATTAAAATGTCACACTTCCTACAGAAGCATACATCAAGGGCATCCGACTCCAAAAAGTTTTGCTTATCATTGCTGTTCTTGCATAATTTACAAATTAGTGAGCAAGCAGCACATTAAGTTTTTTGACATGCTAAAAAGATAAACATGTCCTCAAAATAAAAATACTGGACATTATGCTTCCTTTAAATTACAAGTTAAACACTGACAGCAGCAATACACAAACTTAGCTTCAGGTTTCTGTTCCAAAGTTTTTGACATGTCAAAAGGCTATACACAGTATAAAGCATTTATCACAGTAACCAGCATTGTATCTATATGTCAATTGCTATTCTAATTTTTAAAATTCTCTCATTTCTCATTAACAAAGTTAGCACACAAACTAAGAAATTATTCTAAGTCTCACAATTTACTTGTGAACAAACTTTTTTTGTGCCGAGTCAGAAATCAATTCCATGACTGTTTTAAGAACTCAGAATAAAGACAAAAGTATTATGAAAACAATTTGATGAAAAGTGTCAATCAGATAATTAGTGGCTAACCCACCAATTAACCTATTTCTTTACAGTAGAACCCCAGCAGTTAACCAGCAATAAAATATTTAAACCTTTATGTGCGAAAGCAACCCACTGGCAAGTGACAACTACCAAGACACTAGGACCAAAGATACATACTCAAAAACAATCATTTTAAAGGTAAAATCTTAAATTAGTATTTAACATTACTACAACAAAAAGGCCATAAAGCTCAGATCTGGCAGTTCTTTGATCCTTTTTGCACCCTGCCCAATGCCAAATAAACCTTCTGCCCTTTAAAAAACACTGGCCATTTTTAAAGCAAAACTGTCAGAATTTGTTATGAGATCTAAAAAAAATGCTCACCATGGGATTAAAATTCCTGTTTGCTCCATGTTTTCTCATTTTTATAACTGAGATGTAGTCATAACTGGGGCTTGATACTGACTTCCAGCTCCAGTAAAGAAATTACAGCCGGTCTGTATGCTGTAGGATAAGCACTCAATTGCAAAGTCGGTTTGAACCGCAAGGTCAGCAGTTCAAATTTACCAGTTGCTCCTTGGAGACCCTATACAGGGTCACTATGAGTAAGAACTGGCTTGATGGCACTCAACAACAATCATCATTAGGAAGGAATCCTGGTGTGCTGCTGTAGAATAAATACTAGAGTGCTAAACACAAAGTTGGCAGTTCAAACCCACCAGCCACTCTCAGAAACCCTGTAGAGTCTCTATTAAGTGGAAACCCACATAAAGGCACTTAATAAACCATTAGGAACCTACTCCATCGTGTGGGCTTTTAGGATATTGCCCTTAAAACCCATTCTTGACCAAAAGGACAACTGTCCCTTGAGTTACAAACTTCTCCCCAAAATGCCAGATTAACTGAAGTGTTAACTGATCTTACTACTTTATCATAAACTTGTTACTTCTAATAACAGTTATTTTGACATACAAAATAAATCTTACTTTAAGAATATACTGTTTCCCATTTTAGGTTATGTTTTCAACTTGTACATGTATCCTAGTATGGGGCCATTTTAGGTGTTTAATTTTTAAGACTTCCTCAAATAAAACTTCCATGTTGAACTTTTATAACACTTTTGATTATTTTACAAACAAATGAACAAAGATATCCACAATGCTGTGTAGGTCATTTTTAATGTTTATTGCCAATTGATGGGAAATGAGGTTTTTTCTCAATAGACATTTTTTTCTTTCTTTGAAATACAACTTCTAAATATCTAATACTTACTTCTAAACTAAAGATACAGAGCATTTCCTTTACAGATAAAAGTTCATTAACAACATTTACCCTTTAAAAGTGAAAAGCCCACTGCTATCTTTTTAAAGGTGAGAAAGAAAAATGACTATATAAAAAAATGGCTTCTTGCTGATATCCATGGCAAGTTCTAGAACAAAAACAATTTCTATTAAGTTGAGATTTAACTATTAAAACTACTTCTGTGATTACAGAAATTTTCCACCAAAAAATTGAACAAAGCTAGACTGAAATTATTTTAGTCTAGAGTAATTATAAAAGCTGTATTTTAAAAAGCTAATGTGTCTGATCTGTTCCTCAATGACAGAACTAGTTTTAACTACAGTGATGTTTACTGTGAAAGTGGTCTTAGGCCCCAAATATTGTTCATAGCACAGCGAAGAGTTTACTTAAATATTAGATAATAATACTAAAAATACTACTAACTGACCCAATGAAGTACCCTAAGCAACTCTCCACCTTCAATTTAGCCTAAGTTAATATGTTTCATATACATACCTCAGCACTAAAAAGGTTGACAGAAGAGTCCACCCTTCCTAATTTATCCAGGTATTAAATACTCTGGTCAAATATGTTTATGTAAGTATATGTACATCCCAAAGAATGATTACTAACTAGTTCTCAAAAAACCTGAGGAAGATATACAGTAAAACATCAGCTATTTAGCACTTTTAGAGAAGAGCCAAATATTTCTGAGCTGAAAGTTCCACCTTCCTTAAATACTGGCTGCCTTTCCAGTACTTAACCATCAGCCATTTGCAATGATACCTTTATTTTAATCAAACATAGCAATCATGATTTTAACACTTTATGACTCAGTCATCAGTAATGTATTATGCTACTGTCCTCAGGGGTCTTCTGAAACTAGTGCTCTTGCATGATGCTACAGCATAAAGCACTGGACTGCTAACCACAACGTCAGCAATTCAAACCCACTAACTAGCCACTCCTCAGAAACCCGAGTCACTCAAGAGTAGGAAATCAACTCAACGGCACACAAGAACTGCATCTCATTTCTTTTACCAAGTTCTATTTTTCATTTTTTGCCACATTAATAACTTGCCGTTCTAAAATGCTTCCCTCCATTTTGTAAATAAAATGAGTAGTCAGCTATCAAACTTTTTTTGTTCTTTCTAAAATTGTATTGTGCTTTAAGACAAAGTTTACATAGCAAATTAATTTTCAATTGGTAATTCATAAACCATACACATTGTTCAATGGCACTGGGTGCAATCCTCACAATGTGTCATCATCACTCTCTCCATTTCCTGCCTGGTTCTCCATTTCCATTTGTTGAATTTCCCTGCCCCTGCTGTCATCTATCATCTTTGGGTTTGGGGCAAATACTGATCTTTTAATCTTTATCAAATATTTTATAAAAAGAAAAATTTCCTGGCAAAAAAAGTGGCTATCATTTTAGAATTAACACCTATAGCTATCCAAAAGTCCTTTGACTTTCTTTTTCCGGCATTAGTATGGAAGACTTGCTCAGTAACAGATATCTACAGGAGAGCAAACTATTAAATCTGTTACATCTTTACAAATGTAACACATTACTAAATCCACTCCATCTTTATTTAAGAGAAACACCAAAATATAATCACACAGTACAGTATTGATAAAAAAAAAAAGTCTCTATCCCTCTTCTGAATTCCGGATAATATTTTAACCTCTCCAGAACATCAGCATTCTGGCATGCTCTCTTCTTTCAAATTATGAGATGGCATAAAATTATCAATTTAAATTTTATTTCATAAAACTGCTTAAAGCACAATATCTATGATTCCATCTAAATTACCTCTATTGTCCTTGAATACAAAGACTGACTCTCAAAATTGTCACTCCTAGAGGAAGTGTTGTAAATGCTTTCCAGAAGGTAAAACTTCAGAAAATGTTTAAGCAGTCAAGTTAAAACTATGTTAATACAACTCAAACTGCAACAGAAATGGAGCCCTATGCTTCATATATGACCCTTCATTGGTAATAAACAATCCCACCATTAAAATGTAGGGTTTCAACTTAAAAACACCTGTTGTTCTTGTTAAGTGCCGTCAAGTTGATTCTGATAGTGACCCTTGTATGGGGTTTCCAAGGAGCAGCTGGTAAGCTTGAACCCCAACCTTGCAGTTCAAACGACTTTCAGTCCGGCGCATTAGCCCACAGCGCCATATCACGACTCCTACTCAACAGTGAAAGTCTATTTGCCTTCAAATACTGATGTTACCAAACTACAGAATTAAATAATAAGCATAAAGTTATACAATTCAGTAGAGCGCCATCCAGATGTTAAGCAGTGTTATTTCAAGAATTTCACCTGCTTTCTAGGACATTACTATATTACTTCTTAGAGCCAGGATTTGAATCCTAGCTCTTCCACTACCAATTAAATGATCCTAAGAAAAAATGCAAATTTAATTCCAAGACTTTTCCCTAAACTGTAAAATGACAAGCTCTAACAGAGCCTGGAGTCCTGATGTGGCACTGTGGGTTAATGCACCAGACTGCAAAGCCATTTGAACTGCAAGGTCGGCGGTTCAAGCTCACCAGCCACTCCTTGGAAACCCTATACAGGGTTGCTGTGGGTCCAAACTGACTTAACGGCACTTAACAGAATCTAGCCAGAGATATATGTAGTGAGACTTAAACGGCATTAAAGTGTATAGACGAGAACCTCACATATCTCAAGTGTACAATAAAAAATTATTATTTAGAAAGGATAAAGCACAATTTAATTATAAACACTTAGAGACAATCATCGATTAACAGTGTATTGTCAAGGAACTAATTGTGTGAGACTTGTTTTAATTAGTGGGCTATATATGGATGAGCTCTTTGATGTTGAGGAAAAAAGGCTCGAATGTAACTTATATAAAGTGATCCTAAGATGAATTTTTTTCAATGTGACACACTGATAATAAACCAGAAATAATTTTTTTAATATCCAATGTAAGAAATATATCGATTGGAAATTAGGCCACCTAAGATTCTAAAATACAGCATCCAAAATCATTTTTTAAGATTCATCTGTATTCTAAATAAGACTCATCTGCATTACACATAAATCCAAGTAATTTTAGCACACAGTAATTTCAAAATAATT